ACAGACCCACCCCTCCAAGGAATCACTGCATAAACCATGGCTATCTGGAATCAGGGAGTACTTTTTGCAGGGGCAGGCACCTGGCACGACACTTCTGAGCCTTCCTCAAAGGACCAGGGCATGAACTCACACCTTTTCATGACCTGCAACTTCCTGGTGATGGGCAGCCCAGCCCCGTAAATATGCGCCACCCCTTGAAACCGGTAGCCAAGAGACAGGCACGCATCTGGGCAGCTGGGCAATGTGACAGGCACTTGACAAATAACGGGAACGAACTTTTTTTTGGGGGGGAGTTGGCACAATAGGGAACAGTACCCTACACTGGGACTCCTGGCTACACATTGCCTTTACACACGAACTGGAGCAAACATATGCTGACACCAAACAGGATACTGTGGGGGGTGGGGGGAGGGCAGGCAAATGTTGGGCAGGCAAAGAGATGATCACTTGGGTCCCAACTGAGCAAAACATTGCAGTGAGGAACTGGGTCAAGTGCGATTTGGGCACCAGACTGTACATTTGCACTCATTCATCCACAATAAAAAGCATGACCAGGTGGGTCCTCCCCTATTTTTCCATGACACTTGAGTTGACGCAAGGGGAGGGGGGGCAGCTTTCACAGGCATACATGCAACCACCAAGCACAGGTGAGCATCCTGGAAGGGCTGTGCAGGGATGGCTACTTCCAACTTCTTTGGAAACAAAGGCGGGGAGAAGACTCTATAGACCAAACGGGGTCCACAATGGGACCAGCCTGTTGGACACAGGAAAGGAGGCCATCCATGTCAACTGCTTCACACATAACCATGCCAGCCATGTAGAGATCATCCATGGGGGACTCCACTGGGGCTTCCCCTGGATTCTTGAATTCCAAGAAACATTAGAGGGCTGCGGTGCAATGCAACACAATAGACCAACACTTGAAAGGATGTGGCCCACCTTCACACAGTGTGCCGGGTGTATGCTTCGCAAATCACACACACATTCAACCTAATGCAGCTAAGGCACAAGATTAAATGAGGTGCATGAACTAGGACTAAAAAAAGGCTGATGGGGAGACAAGATGGACTACATCAGGGGAGATGGGGTGCAGGGGAAAGTGTGCTGCTTACTATTCAAGGGCTCAGAAACAGCAACACACAATAGGAGCCAGCCAACCCCTCCATGTGGACTCAGGACCCACACTTCAAAAGAAATACTATAAGCACACAACTCCATGGGCCCCAGACAATAATCTCCCAGTCTGTGTCTTCTATGTCTC